GCCGGGCTATAATTCAGGGCTCCCTCGCCGCACTCCGCGCTGGCCTTGGAGGGATGCCAGAGGGGCTCAGCCGCCGCTGCTTTGACAGGGCGCGGGGGGCGCGGCCCGTGCCCTTCACAGTGCTCCCCGCTTCTCTCCCGGGGCAGCGGCGAGGCAGTCTTTTTCGGTCACCGCGGGTGAAGCCGGCACCGACGGTCGATCCTAAATCAGAGCCATGAGGATCAGGGGGGAGGAGCGGGTATCACAGGGACTTTAACTGGGATCATACAGCCCAACCTGTCGCCCAGCTGATGAACATGTGAGACATGGGTGTTTTGCGTTAGCTCCCGGGGACAAAGCAGAGCGCAGACGAGTCCTGCCTTACCATAGACAGATGTTAGGAGGCCTGGGACTGCACGTCAGGGTTGCTGTACCCAACTGTTCAGAAAGTGTTTGCATGACCGTGGTTAGAATTCTTCAGTTGCGCTGCCAAACTCCTAGTTTTCCTGTGCGTGGGCACCGCGTTTCCTATTCCTTGAACCTTCTGTCTGTGTTGAAGCTCCCTAAAACGTATTCTGAGTGTTTCTCTGCAGAGGATGCTTGTTCCCTGGAACTGATCAAAAATTGATGCTTTCACCTATGGCCCCAGGCTTTATCTCTGACAGTTACTTCTGGGTGGAGCTCCAACTTTCATCTACTTTGGTTTAACTTCTTGAATATAGAGCATCTTTACTGGGGCTGTCAGACACGAGACAAAAATATAGCTGCAGGGGGCAGGTACAAACTATTTTACTTCGGAAGAAGTTCTTCGCCGAAAGGGCTATCACGCACTGGAACAGGCTGCCCAGGGAGCTGGTGGAGTCACCATCCCTGGATGTGTTTAAGAGACGGGTGGATGAGGTGCTGAGAGAGATGGTTTAGTGGCGGACAGATACGGTTGGACTGGATGATCTCTAAGGTCTTTTCCAACCCCGTGATTCTATGATTCTATTCTATGATTCTATGATTTGAAACGTGATTCTTCATATGTCTGTAGTTTAGCTGGAGAACTTTTTTATTTCAAGGTTTTGTGGTTGACTTTAGAGAAGTTCTTCTGTTAGGGATGAGCCAGGTAGATGCTTTCTGTGAGAAACTAAATCCAGGCACCAGACAAGGCTGCTGGAGATTGTGAGAGCCAACAGAAGTCTGTGTACTTGTGGTGGTTTCTGGCTACCAGTTTGGCTGCATGGGAGATGACATAAAGGGACGTTTAGTTGGGCTTGCTGTGGGTATTTCTATTTGCATTGGGCAAGTTGTTCAGTGTGGTGGTGGGTAGAGGGTTGGGGGTTATTTTGCTTTCTAGGTGACAGCTAGAGTGGATGGGTTTGTCTATCAGGGAGGACACTAAGACGCCAGAATTAAGGTTTTGCAATGCTTAAATGCCGTTATCCAACCACAGAGTTTTACAAAGCCCTATCCTCTCCATGCTTATGCCTTCAGTTTTAATTCCTTAGAGAGAATCTCTCTCTCGGAGAGAGCTGTTTTTGGGATGGATTTCTGGGGTTCCTGGACTCTGGTTCCCCATTTGGAACTTTTGATCCTGCTGTTACTTCAAAGTTAACGTTGCATTGCTAGTGTTTCCCAGGTTTTCCTTTTCCAAGGAAAGGCCAGAGAGTTGAGAATAGTGTTCATCTCTGGATAGAGCCAATATTCCTTATTTTACGAAGATTTGTATAAGTGTGAGAGAACCTCTGCTGCTTTTCTCTTTAGTCAGCAAGGGTTGAACTTTGAAACAATACTCTGCTTCAGAAATGTGTACTTTTAATTCAAGTAATTGTGTGGGGAAGACTTTGAAAGCAGTTAATTATAATTAATGATTACCATTGATTAATGATAATTGGGGCCTACAAGGAAGCTGGAGAGGGGGAACGGACTTCTTACAGGGGCCTGTAGTGACAGGACGAGGGGTGATGGATTTAAACTGGAAGTGGGAAGGTTTAGATGGGACATCAGGAAGAAATTCTTCCTGCAGAGGGTGGGGAGGCACTGGGACAGGTTGCCCAGAGAAGCTGTGGATGCCCCATCCCTGGGAATGTCCAAGGCCAGACTGGGTGAGGCTTGGAGCAACCTGGTCTAGTGGAAGGTGTCCCTGCCCATGGCAGGGGGGTTGGAATCTTTAAGGTTCCTTCCAACCCAAGTGATTCTATGATTCTATAATCGGTCTGCTTTATTTGCAAGGTTTTTTGGGCTTTTACCATACCTTCATAATTCAAAGTAGTTACCTTTCATGCTGTGTTCATAGCTCACAGGGAGTAGAATAACATTGTAGTTCTAGTTATACGAAGTAAATCTAAGAACGGATTTTTAAATCCTCTTGTTGCTGATACTTGGTTGTAATTTTTGTGTCTGCTTCAAAAAAATGCTCAGGAGCAGACCTGAGAAGTGGATAAGGCACTCAAGAAGCAGCAAGGAACAACCTCTGGTATTGGGATTTTTTAGAAGGTGGAGGAAACTGGTTTTGCTACTGTTTTGGTTTGGTTTCCCCTTGTAACATCTAGATGACACAAGCGGAGGTAAACGTATCCACGTGAGACGAAATTTTGCGTCACAGTTTTGACTCCAAAACAGGCCAAGGTTTTGGAGACTTGGCTTAGGTTGTGGCTGGTGTGGACACGAGGCCCTGAAGCCCTGCGTCTGATGAGGCGAGCTGATGCCCCTTTTCATGCTATGTTTGTGTTCTGAGGGTTCCCCTTGCAGACCCAAAGGCCAGAGGCTTAGCTGTCACCTTACAAAAACCGTACTGCGGGTACCTTCCATGTTGAAAACTAATGCCTGTTACAGAAAAGGGAATTCTCTGCGTGGTATTACTTTTTCTTCAGCTTATATGGGGCAGCACGGTGTAATGAAGTATGGGAATGCGTGAGTGTGCTTAATTAGAGTTTGACAACGATGTTTTGTATTTCAGGGCAAATGACCCAGCTTTGTGAACTGATCAATAAAAGCGGAGAGCTGCTAGCAAAAAATCTTTCCCATCTGGATACAGTGCTTGGTGCCCTGGATGTGCAGGAACACTCGTTAGGCGTTCTTGCTGTCTTGTAAGTGTTGCTGTCTTTTAACTAAATACCGTAGTATTAAAACTTGTGGAAGCACGCTCAATTGTCAACCCAAGGTTTGTCTTTTGGACATAAATGCTTTCAGTCTGCACTTCATAGAATGGTGCTTAGTTTCCTTCAGTGGTGCACATTTTATTAATAAAAATACCAAGGCAAATATGTATTTTCAAAAGAAAAAAAACCCTCTGGAGCTTGTAAATGCAGTTGCTGTCAAATGGTATTGTCAGGGCCTTTGTTTTCCTTAAGGTTGTATCTGTTTCTCTTGTTTCTCCCTTTATAAGTATTATTCTGCACGTGTTCAGCAAAAAGATATAAAGCTAGCCTTTAAAACTTGATGGGCAGGGCATTAGTGTGCTGAACTGCCAGCGTGAAGCAAGGCACTTTTGCTTTTCCATGGATTCTTATCCTAGGTCTTGGGTGTCTGTCTCTAGACAGCACTGAGGCTCTTGCTGCTGTCTGTAGTTTAAGAGTAATACTTGAATTGCCTGGATGATGCTGAGGTGAGGTAAGGATATTTGGCTCCGAAGCTCAAACTGGAGATATGTGGAGATAATGCACTTTAACATTACGATTCACCTGCGTGTCATGAGAATGCATTATGTGATTTACAAAAAGCAGGGCGCAGGTAGTGCATTAGCGGGGAATCGTATCATGGGGTATACAAAACCAGTCATTAAAGTAGGTGGAGGAAGGAAGATAAAGGCTTAAAAGAAATCAGTGTGTGAACTGTGGTGTTTGAAGAGACGGTCTCAGTGGAGTGTGGGAACGTTCTGGCTGAAACTGTGGCAGGAGAAACTCCTGCACTGGTGGGATAAGACTCAGTGAAGGGACAGGAAAAAGGGTGGCAGCAGAAAACCTGGTGGTCATAAGCCTTGCGGGGAAGGACAATTCGTGATCCTATTACTGAAGTACGGGCAGGGTTGGGTTAAACAGAGTTTAAACAGTGTTAAACAGAGCTTTTTCTGTACATTTTGGGACACTTGTAGGCTGTACAGCTAGAGTTTTCATTGCACTCACCTGAGTGCAATCGCAGCTCATCTTGGAGGCAGCAGTGTGTCTGCGTGTAGCCTACAGGCTATGGGGTGCTGGAGAGGAACTGGAAAGGAAGAGCACGAGCTCCTGTTGAGAGATACAAGTCTAATTATTTAATAGTTGAGAGAGCACCTTCCAGCAGGAGATGTCTGCAGGATGGGCAGCGTCCAGAGAAGTTGTGCGGCAGAGTAATAACATCCATCTTCGTTAGGCAGCGTGTCTGTTAGGACTGTAACTCTCGGAGCAGCTAGAATGATCTTTGTTTGCCACGGTTTGTTGTAAATTGCAGTTTGCACTAGACTGGGACTGGGGGGTGTGCGTGCAAAGCGTGTGTTCAGCTGTTGTGCACCTCCTGGGGAAATCGCACGCCATCTGTCAGAAACACTTGGGATTTGTTTGCAAGCATCTACGTGCATCTGCAGAGACTTAGTGGGGAAGATGAAGCTTTTTTTATTAATTTCCAAATGTTAAGTGCTAAACCTGTTTGTTTGTTTATTTTAGGTTTGTGAAGTTTTCTATGCCCAGCATCCCTGACTTCGAAACGTTATTCTCACAGGTGCAGCTTTTTATCAGCACTTGTAACGGGGAACACATTAGATATGCAACAGACACTTGTAAGTTAGGTTTATTTTCAGACTTTGTCTATTTTTGGATAGTTTGGTATTACTTATTTTTCACTGTGTTGTTTTGTTTGTTTGTTACTGTATTTAGTTGCTGGCCTGTGCCACCAGTTAACAAATGCCCTTGTGGAGAGAAAACAGGTGAGCGAATACCCTCTAATAATGATGTTATATATTATTATTAACATATAAATAAGCTACCTACATATCCAAGCTCTTACAGGGGACGTTACCAGTTTCTTACCTCAAAAAGATTTGCCACTAACTTCACATTAAGTACTTTTATGCAGCTCCTTGCTTGTTAAGTTTACTGAGAGGTGGTGAACTTAAACCTAGATTTGAAGATTTCTGTAAGGAAAATGTAACAAAGATAATTTTTTGGGGGGAAGATTCAGCTAAAGATCTGCTCTCTCACACAACCTAGGAAATCTCTAGTAGCAAGAATGTTCCTCAGATGATGTGTGCGTGAGGAGGGTGAAAGCTGCAAAAATTATTAGCGCTGGTGAGTCAGTAATAACTAGTTTGAGTGTTGCTCTCACCGGTGTTACATGATGTTCTTAACAAAATGCCTTAAAATGTAAAGGAAACTCAATTAACTATTTGACCAATGTTTTGGTTGCTAAGATACTGACTTTTTAGGTCATTTTAGTGGAATCTAGCCTGAAATAGAACTAGAGATAAGTGTGGTCTAAGTGGAGCGAAGAGAGAGCCTTGCCTTTGTTACGTGCTGGGAGTTTAGGTGGTGTTGTGGAGTCAAGAAAGGTTTTCTTACCGCTAGATTACTGTGTTCCTGATGAGGTTGGCTTTGGGGAGCAGAATCGATGACTCTAGTTATCAGAAGAAGTTGTATAGCCAAGGTTAATTTTATTTTCTGAGAGACTGCACTATCCTACAAAAAGGGAACCTCACATTAACTATTACTTAATGGAACCTGTCAATTAGTGTTATTTTTCATTTGTAAGTGTCAACATAAGATCCAATGTGCTGCCATCTATGAGACATTATCTGAAAGAGATGTAATTTCTGACAGCCCCTGCGAGGAATTAGCATTCTCAGACAAGCCATAGACAAGATGCAGATGAACACAAACCAGCTGACCTCAATACATGCAGATCTCTGCCAGGTAAGGGGTGCACAAGGGCTCTCTATGAGAGTAAAAGCTTATAAAATACATATAACCCTTTGAGGAAATACATGTTCACATATTGCAATGTAAAAATGGCTTCTAACTCTTTTTTCCCAGTAATAAGCAATATGATATACTGAAATAAAATCCCCTTCTATTAATTTTAAATGTTCAGTGCATGTCCCCAGATCTTTGGGTTTGTTAATGGCTTCTGAAAGTGCTTTGCCATCCCTTCTCTCTGGGCTCCAAGTAACGCACGGCTTGTTTTAGGCGGTTGAAGTGTAATAGCCAGATACTGTTTGCTCACATTTGACAAAAGACGTTTGTCTGAGTGTGTTTGGCCTGGATTTGCGCTTCTGTCTTATTCTTGACTCCTGGGATTTAGGGTTGGACAGGAATGTTCAGTGCAGTATTCAGCGCTGCCAGAGCGGTAGTCTGGAAGGCCTGGAGTTTCCAGCAGCTTTGTCAGTCTAATTTCTTTAGGATTCAGATAATTTATAACAGTTCACAGTCTGTGTTAAGGGTTTTCCAAATACTATAAATAATCTGTGTTACAGCACTGTTGACGTGCGCTGTTTTTTCACTCCTGGAGGAGTGAGATTTATTAAGTAGTACTAGATGAATTTAGTTTCAACTTCTTCCTCGTGGAAATTTGAATGGAAATGGCTAATTTATGAAAACTTGATTTATTTTCTTGTAGCTCTGTTTGTTAGCAAAATGCTTTAAACCTGCCCTCCCGTATCTAGATGTGGACATGATGGATATTTGTAAAGAGAATGGGGCATATGATGCGAAGCACTTTTTATGTTACTACTACTATGGTGGGATGATATACACTGGGCTAAAGAACTTTGAAAGAGCACTCTACTTTTATGAACAGGTAACTTTAAATAAAATGGTAAGTCTAAAAGTGTGATCAATTGACAGGCAAAAGTAGCACGTGTAGTAGCGCTGAGAGAGCGTATCGTCTTTGAATTGCCACCAAGGGTAGCAATAAAAGCCGTGAAACTAATAAAAAGTACAAGCGGTCTCCGTTTATTTTCATTCTTAAGCTTAGGGGTAGAGTTCTACTAACAGATCTCTACTGCTGTTCATCACTCACACAGGTTTTGCTGTAGCACTTGTGTTTGTCATAGGAATACCTAAAACCTGATTGGGTTAGTGTTCGCTCTCCGCGCGCTTATGGAAGGTTTGGCCTGCTTATTGCCCTTCAGTGTACAAAGTGTAGTAACCAGCAAAGTGTCTTTAGAGGTGTTTTCCTTTAAGAAGGACTCTTACAGCCAAGGAGCTGTTGCACCATAAAACTACGCAACTGAAAGGTTGATGTTAAATTTATCTCACTATAAATATTTTTCAAACGCCTGCTTATTAGCGCTCGCAGCGAAGCGGCTTACAGGCTGACATTCACAGCTGCGTGTTCTGGGAGAGTTCCGGGGTGTTGCTGAGACCTGTGCTGAGGCGAGTTACACTTCAAGATTATTAGGATATTCGCTGCTTTTATTTTCTCTGTGAAAGAAGAGAAGATCGCAAAATGGGGAAATCTTCATGTATGCGTGGGGAAAATGCTGTCAAATGTGCAAAACCAACTGGTGCAGCGTTTTTCTTTTCTGTAAACAAGGGCGAGCTCTTGAGTAGGGAGCAGTATCGCAGTAAACGAAGATTCCTTTTCCCTGTTCTGCAGACCTCATTTTTACTTAAATGTGAGATCTGATGATGGAATAGCTTTATAAAGCCTCTGTAAGGATCTGTGTAAATCCGGGTTGTGCAGGAACTGGTAACACGTAGCTAGAGGTGTTTTCTTGTACAGCCTTATCGACACACCAAGTAAAGAAGCTTTGATTTGATCATAGCAGGGTTATTTTAAGGTAGGCATCGCTGTAACATGATGTGTTTGGCGTAGCTTGTCTCGAGTTCACTTTTTAGGACGTTTTTGGATAATTGATTTTGACAGAAGTTAGTTAAGCCTTGATGCTCAAAGGTGAATTTCATGTCATGTATCCTTTCTGCGTGCAGCTTTAAACTCGGGTTTTGTTAATGCAGTAGCTACCAGGATCTACCAGTAAGTACACTAAATTTCTATTCCGTTTCTCTTTCTTGCTTAGGCAATAACTACTCCAGCCATGGCAGTCAGTCATATTATGTTGGAATCGTATAAAAAGTATATTTTAGTTTCTTTGATACTACTTGGTAAAGTTCAGCAGCTACCAAAATACACTTCCCAGATAGTTGGTAGATTCATTAAGGTAAGTCTTGTGAATACAGCTAAATAATAGAACAACAAATCTGAATTTGTAAATGATTTTGCCTACCCTCGTTTCGTGGTACTGCTTTAACATTTCAGGTTGTGGCAAATCCTGCACAACGTGCCGGAGTACAACCTCCTGCTGCCTTTCTGCTGTGCAGGAGCTAAAGATTGTCTGGCAACTTGTCTGTTACAAAAAAACTGTGTTGTTCATATTGGAGATACAGGTTTTTAAACTTAAATTTGGAAGAGCTTTAGGGTTGAATAGTACTTACCAATATTCTCTTCACTGATACTGCAGTTCCCTTCATAGCATTTTACAGTAGAACTCTAACAAGACCCCGATTTCACTCGGCTTTCAGTATGCCGTGTCCTTGTGAAACCACTCAGCCTGTAACTTCATCAGGTTGAAGTGCGAAACGCTGAATAGCTTATTCCAAAACTCCAGCCTTATAAAGAATAAGAGCTTCTGAAAAAGCTGCAGGTTTGGAGTCTGGAAGCATTCTGATTAGGAGTTGGAAGGTGGAAGACAAAAATGCTAGCAAGAGAGTTCTGATCCTCCGTAAATAACTTGCTTTTGAAAGTGAGTTAGTTCTTATTTAACGCTGAGTTTGTTGATTTGTGACCAGAGTTTGAGTTCCAAAAATCACCTTCTAACTCAGATACTAATAAACAAACTCAAACAACTGTTGAAATAGCGAATAGATTGGGTGAGGCTGGTTGAAGACAGTGTTCTTTAAGAAGGGTTCTCATTTTTCTAATTGCAGCCCCTTAGCAATGCTTACCATGAATTAGCGCAAGTTTATTCAACCAATAAACCCTCGGAGCTTCGAAATCTGGTGAACAAACACAGTGAAACGTTCACAAGGGATAACAATATGGGTCTGGTTAAGCAATGCTTGTCATCTCTCTACAAAAAGAATATTCAGAGGCTAACCAAGGTAAGATGGAGAGGTTTTGTTTTGCTGAGAAATTGTGATGAGTTGTTCTCGGAGTGGATCTCTGAAATGTGTTCAATTCAGAGCAAAATGATAATGTTGTAATGCCAGGGAGAAATTATGAAAATGGAGGTTTATGTCTCTGAAACAAATGAGACCAGAATGCTCTATGGAAAGCCAATCGGGTTGGCTACTTTTGCATTATTTAAAAGGTGGTTCAGTGTCTATCAGAGGGGTTTGCCCATGAGATTTTCATATGTAATCAAAGAAGTTGCGAGCGCTGCTGCCCAATGACCTTCATCTCTGTTCGAAAAATAGGAAAACTGAACTTTACAGGCTACTTCATTAGAGAAGAGTGAGTGACTAGGACAGATTTTGGAAGTGTCTGAAGTAAAAGGAAAACCAGAAGCAATGGAGTGATGTGCTCCTTCAGCTGCGAGGTCAGATAATCCATAAAGATGATCGGGGAAAGCTCTTTTTTTGGCAAGCTCACATGCTATTTGTTGTAGTAGAACTAACCTCAGAAGGAGCGTGATAGACGCAGCTCTTGAAGGAAATTCAAGGGGTGGACAGTCACCTTATGTAAAAAGGTGAGGGAAGAGCTTGGATGTGGTCAGGGCTGTGTGTGGGGTAAAAAGGAATTGCAGAAATGGAGTAATGGTTCCCTGAATTTGGTCTGCATACATGTAACTAAGTTAATGGCTTTGAAGGAACAACTGACTCCACTCTTGTGCCTCTGTAAGTAATAACTACGTGTTCCGCTTGTTTCTTCCCATCCGACTTCAAAAATAAGATTGCATAGGCCATGAAGGATTGATAGGGGAAGTTACCAACATCCAGTTTTAATGGTTGGGTGCTTTCTAAATTTCAGACGTTTTTAACACTGTCATTACAAGACATGGCAAGTCGAGTGCAGTTGTCGGGGCCCCAAGAAGCAGAAAAATACGTCCTCCACATGGTAAGACTTGTGACTTGGTTAAACTGTCCTGATTTAAAAACTGATCCGACGCGTTAGACCCTGTAAGTGTTTGGATTGGCAGCGCGTCTTCCGAGTGGCTGAAGGATGGTTCTTTTTAAGCTGAAGGAAATGCTGTCAGGCTGCTGTGGCGCTTAGACTGTTCTTAGAAGATTTTAAAAGGCATTCCTTCACCTAAGATCAGGCAGGCATCGTTTGTCTTTGGGAAGCTGCTAGGAAATAAAAAGCAAACAAGTTAAAGATGATTCCACGAGGAGTCTGTGTGTTGTCATTACCTGAAATTCTGCCCTTAATACCTCACATTAAACACTCTGTCGTTTCAGATAGAAGATGGTGAAATCTTTGCGAGTATTAATCAGAAAGATGGTATGGTCTGTTTCCATGATAATCCTGAAAAATATAACAATCCAGCTATGCTTCATAACATTGATCAGGAGGTAAATCTTTAAGATAACTGCTTTTGGAATTCCTACCGAAGAACCCTTAGTCTGTAGAGAGCTGCTGAGAGAAGCCAGTGTAGGTAACTTCTGTGTGGAGACTGGGGGCTACGAATGGTTACTTGACTCTTTCACAGCACTGGTGTTTAAAGTGTTAGACTGATAGTTGGCTGCTGTCAGCGTGTTCCCTGTTGTCTCTTGCACAGCTTGAGGTGATTCAGTAGGCTGCTTGATATTGGTGACATGAAGTTCCTTGAATGGATTAGAAAGATTGCTTTTAGACTTTTAGGCTTCAAGGACCACTTCCAGTGGCTGATGATAACCTGCCTGTGGGTTGAGGTGGTTGACCCCCATGGGTCTATCAGTGGCTTCAGAAAGGACTGTTAGGAAGACATGGATCAAAATAAGGGAATAAAAAATGGTCTGACACTTGTTTGGGAGGTGAGGGCTGAGAACATTTAGACGTGGGACTTTTGTGATGGCAAAAGTTACTGATTCTGCATGGCACAGCCATGAAATGTCTTGACGATCATGTACAAGCTGGACAAAGTAATCAACTCAATCTGTATTTTTAAGATGCTGAAATGTATAGAGCTTGATGAACGACTGAAAGCCATGGATCAAGAGATCACTGTGAACCCCCAGTTTGTGCAGAAGGTAATGGATTTCATGTCTTGTAAGAGATTCAGTTCAGTGAGCATGTGTTGCACTGAATGTCAGTATTTAGTGGTGTTAATTACATGCTATTAATAATACGCATAAACATCATGCTTTAAACCAAAGAGGAAGTGCATGTTCTTTCATATGCACTTCATTTTCCTACCTGCTAACTTCAAAGAACTGTTTGTCTCAAAGGTAAACCCTCAGACCTGTTTTTGAAAACAAATAACTCTCTCTCTTCCAGAGTATGGGCTCTCAAGAAGATGACTCAGGGACCAAACCATCCAGTTATTCCTGAAATTAATGTTGCTCACCACTCCGCTTTCAAGTAAAAGCTTATGAAAGAATCACGCCTGGAATAGAGCATTGAGGAGTTCCACGAAGAGAGCAGAGAGAACTGAGCTTTGCTTTTCACCTGGACATTAAGACAACAAAAGAACACCCTCTCAGTACTGTTTAATATCAGAAATATTCTCTGCAAAGAAAAAGGAAAATCTCAAAAGAAAATTAAGTCTGTTGTGGATTTATTTATCTTCAGATTAACATCGTTAATGCATTAAATAATCTACCTTTTGTTTTAAAGGGTTTGAATGTTGCTGTGTTTCTGTAGCAGTCCTTTTTTCTTTTTCCTCTTCTGCAAAAAGAGTGTTATTCAGGGAAGAATACAAACTAGTGTTGGCTCACTTACAAGATAATTACTGGTTCATTATTCTGTATTTAAAGTTGTCTCAGAGTGCAGATTTATCTTATGTACGGTGGCGGGCGAGGGGCGGAGTTTAAATTCTCTACATTGTGATTTGCATATGCCCAGTGTGGCTGGCTGCCGTCTGTGAAACGATGAAATAAGAACTGTTCTTCCCCAAAGGATGAGCGTATGAACGAGCCCGTGCAAGGCAGAAGGCACCCTAGGGAATCCGTGCGTGACAGCGGTCTGTGTTTTTAACTTTCCGATCCAAAATATCTCTTAATAACATTCGCTCTTAGATCAAACTTGTTAGACCTAAACAGAAGGATGTTTGCAGGCCTTGGTGTTCTGGAGGGTTCTAGTATGAAGTTGTTTACACTGATGTTTAAATTTCTGTTCCTGTATAATCGGCATGGAGGTGTTCAACAGGCTAAAGACTTCTCTGTGGTGGGAATCGCCTTCAGTGAAGGCGACGCTATAGATCTTTGTTTCCAAGGAAAATAACTGTGGAACACAAATGGAATTCTATGCAGTTCTCCAAGTGCAGGATTTTAGTTGGACATAAGACGCTGGGATGCTGTCTGGTTTTAACTCGCTATTTTTAACATAAAAACTTTGTTGTTGGATTCATTAAGTGCTTCACCCTTTAACTCAGTGGGCTCTTCAATTTTCTGTAGTTCTCGTGTATCTGAAGATTCTCACTGTACAAACTCCTTTGAAACACTTCATGTCGGTGCGAATCTCCTACTGTCAGGCATAAATAAACCTGTCGTCGGGTCAGAATGCGAGAAGCTTGGCATCCAGTGCTTCCTCCTTAAAGGCCTGACTAGGAGCTGCTTGCTACTGCTAACCTGCCAGCTGTTTTTTGGGAGCCTAAGTGGGAGCTGAGCATTTCCAGCTCTTGCCGTGTGATGCTTGTATGTATTGAGCTCACCTGTGGTTGAAAATACTCCGCTTGCGCATCCAGCGTGTGACTGCTGGGCTTTTCACTTAAATTGGTGTCTTAATTCCAGCAGCGCCTCTGTGACAGCGGTTTGCTTTCTGGCAGAGAAGTCTCTAGGTGGTGAACAACCGTTTTAGACGTATAAAATAGCAGTTTAGTAGCGGGCACAGCATAGGTCCGTAGTGTTAGTAGCTCACCGTTGAGCTCTTGTGCTTCCTATCAGAGAGACTTTGAAGGCAGCTCTTACACCTGACCCTGATGCAAAATCTTGTGGGTTTTTCCCCCCTTGCCTTACCAGCCTTGTCATAAGTCTCTTTAATTCCTTCTAAGGGGTTTGTTCCTAGTTAGCCCTGCAGTGATTTTGATGCTGAATGTGCTTACGCAGTTTTCCTCTCTGGTACTGCGGGAGTGTTAAGTTAGTAGGGCACTAACGCTGCGGGCTCACGCGTGAGGCCAGGTTGTCGGGGCGTTTATGACCATGTGTGGTAGTCACAGGAAGAACTGCAGATGACTCGCCCCAAACTGCCACCTCCACAAGAAAACCGTGGATGGCTTGCCAGTGTCGGCTGTGCGGCAGCCGAGCTTTCATACCGCTGGTTCCTGTCCGTGAGCGTGGACTCGATCTGCCGAGAGCGGCAGGATGGCTTTATCTGCGGAATTACAAACAATCTAACACATGCAGCTGGCAAATGGCAGCTACGTTTTCTCTTTTTGCCTAAAGCATATAAAATAAATCCATACTGCACATCAAAGGATGGTAGAAAAGTCTGTGTAGTAGTTTCAAATGATGTATTACGCTATTATCTGATTTTTTTTAAGAGGGCAAATGCTTTTTATGAAGTGTTGAGGTTCCTTTTCTGCGCTGTTCAAACTCCAGTTGCTGCTGCAGATGCAGAGTCGGGTCCCACCTGTAGAATTACTAGAGATAAGGCATTCACCCAGAGTGCTTTGGGGAAGGGCTTTTAAGTAACTGTTTGATAAACACATACGGTCTGGCATCTGCATGTCGGGATGCTGCTGAAATTAAGTCAGGTTTTTAATGAAGTACCTCTAGGTCTTGGAACTAATTGCTTGGGCTCGGGTCAACTGAGACGCTTTGAGAACACCTGAGCTTTCCCGTTTTAATTTCTATTTATTGCAGGGAAGGACTTCTGATCAAATACAAAAGCGCTGCGTGCTGTGCTCCTCCGAACTTAGGCTCTCAGAGGTCCTGCACCTAGTTCTTCCCGTTGCGCGTGGCTGCAAGATGTGTCGATGACGTACTGAGCACGTGCTTTGATACCTAACTCCTATTTTCGTGCGTCTTGATTAGCAAAGCTACGCACTGCGGTTCTGAAGGTAGCTTTAGACTTGCAGCTGCACTGCTTAGCCACAGGAGGGGCCTCCAGTTACGCTTAGCAGGCAATGTTTCTAAAAGGAAATGGTTAGAAGCTGTTTGTGTACACCCCCCCCTCCTATTTGTGTGCCAGTGGGGAGCCCCAGTTGTGACCTCTGCTCACTGCCACTGCCCCACGTGCTTTTTGCCTAACTCCAGTTGCCTCCTCCTACACAACTTCCCTTCTCTATTCCACGGTACGACCGCAACCCGTTGTATGTGTTGCCACGGGCAATCTGTATAACGTAGGCAATGTTTTCTGCATGGCCAAACTGGCTGAGTAGGTTAGTCCTGAGAAGTTGTTTAAATGTGCTGTTGGAAAATAAAGATAACAAACGAGTCGTTCTTCATAGTTTGTCTTAAATGAGGTAGTAGGTCTTGTGTATTTGGCTTTTTTTTTTTTTTCAGAGGGAGGGGGTGTCTTTTGTTCTTGTCACTTCTCAGGACGTGATTCTGACTGACTGGCGGGGCTGCTAGTTGTCTGCTGCGTGCGGCAGTGTCCTCTGCTCAGGGGTTGTTCAAGCTCTGCCGGTGGCTTCTCAGAGCTCTCCTGAACTTTCTCTCGAGTAGGAATAGTTCCTTTCGAGCATGCGGTGTGTCTTCCTCGGGAAGTGCTACTACTGGTCCTTCTCAGAGATGGGCCCCAGGGTTAGATGGAGTTTGGATTGAACGCTTCTGTTCGTATCTGTGTTGCGATGATCATCCATCTCGCTGACTGTCTGAGTGTCACTCTCTTCAGAGGCATAGTTTGGGCCACGCGTGGCTGCTTGGGTCTGGAGGCATCCGTTGTGGTATCCCATCGCCCTTCTTTCTCAGGATTTAACTACAACTACGCCGCAGCCCATCTGTGCTGGTCTCTGGGGGAGAGAGACCTTTCGCTAGACTCGGTTGTTTACAACTAGGGGTCACCTCCAGTGCAAAAGGCGGGGACGTTTTGAAGCCTGAAAGGGTAATGGTTGACATGGAATTTGTCTTTCCATCGTAGTTTTCTAGATGAACCCTTTAATAAAGCTTGATACCCTGGAGTACTTCAGTGGAGAGAGGGTTTGTCAGAGCCCGGAGCGGGCTTGTTCAACTCAAGTGAGGTTCCTTCAACATTCTAACCCAGGATTTACCCGTGTAAACATCTTGATGCAACTGGTTTGTAACTGGAGGGCGAGAATACTACTTCATGGCAGCCTTTTATATTCTACTTGGTTTGAAGAGTTAGACACATGCTGGGTGCTGCTGCTCTCTTTAACCTGGCGGTGAGCAGGCCCTGGGGGTGGCACGGGAGGGCAAAAGGGGCTTTGCGGGAGCGAAAAGCAAAGCTTTTTCTTTTTTTGCGAAGCTCCTTCCGCCCCTGGGCTCTGACCCGCGGCCCCAGCTCGGGCGCGGCGGCCCCGCTTCCCCTCAGCAGGCCCGGCCC